GCCCAACCCACCCAGGCCCCCGCTGGGGCTGCAGAGAAGCTGCTGCTCTGCACCACAGTGCTACGCAAGGCACCGGTATCATCACCTCATGGCCATGTGAAGGCCTGGCGCCGCCGGATGGATTAAAACAAGAGGTGAATCCCTTTGTGGGTGTCCCACTACGTCATTTTAGAAGTAGTAGGAGTTTATTTTTAAGGACCACGCTTTGGCTTCTGGTTTGCAAACGTCACCTGCTCCTTCATGCCAATCACACTGAGGAATTTTAAGTATATTTTCAATAAAACAACCTCTTCAATTCCCCCTCTGGTAGGCAAATCCCACACGTGCACATACAAACAAGGGACAGGGTGTGCTGACAGAGCAGGACCACGCAGCTCCCCAGCACTGGCCACTCTCCATCCCCATGGGACAGAGATGGAGGAGGAATAAAAACAGCATTAAAAATATATAACTCTCTCTTAGAAAAGAAAAATCTAACAAATACTTCTCATGATATTAGAATTTTTTTAAAAAGACAACTGCTGAACAACCTGGCAGTGTTGCTTTAGTTAAAGAAGGGGCTACCCTTCTTGTCTGCAGACAAATCGACCCCACACACACACAAAACTCAACATTAACCCCAGCAAGGCACAGCCACGGGGCCACAGGACCCCGGTACAACACTTCCCCACGCCCGTGCTGTCCTCTGCAGCATTTTTGGTTTGTCTGCTTGTTTGGTAGGCTCAGGATGAGGATTCCTGCGCAAATAAAGGCCTCAGGCTCCAGTCTGTGAAATGCCCGTGGTGGTTTTAAGGCAAAGGTGGTCTCTTATTGCTGATCTCTTCCAAGACCGTGATTGTCAGAACAGGGAAACGAAGCTGGTGCATCACCACGCACCATCCAGGTTCCAGGATGAGAGCAACCATGTACATCTGCCATGGCCGTGAAAGGTGGCCGCACATGGGCTGTTTGCGGGGCATTTTTGCCCCATTTAAATCAAACCACATTCCTTTAACGAATGGATTTATGAAGAGGAAAACCCCACACGCCTGCTCTGGTGAGGGTCGCGCAGCACTTCCTATGGGCACAGGGATGTGTGGTGAGGAAGGTGCAGGACCCCTGAGGTCTTCTCCGTAAGGCTTGGACATGGCGGGGAGTTGGGGTGCACTGAGCACCGACGTGAACGTCTGTCTGCGTGAGCAGGTTGTGGGGTGCCCCCCTAAGGATGCCCATGTGGGGGACCCTTCTGGTGAGGCCAGACCCGCTCTCACTGCTCTTCCCACCACCGTGATGATCCTCAGGCTTGGCCAAAGGCTCCATCGGGAAAGCACGGCTGGGCTGCACTCTTCGCATTTATACGGCCAATAACAATTGTTAAAATAAAAATACACAGTGGCAAGGCTGCGGGTTCATCCCTGGACAACGGCTTGGCCGCTGCCTCCACCCATGGTGGTTCCTGGGGAGCTGGCCCTGGCCGAGGCTCCCCGCATGGAGGGATCCGAGCCCCTCCACAGGCCAGCGCCCCTCTCCTGCTTCACAGTGAGGGCTTCCCCATCATCCAGATCTCCTCTGGTATGGCTCCAGGAGAGGTTTGTGGGCTGGTGGGGCTCAGTATGGGGTCGTGCCTTCCCACTCCACCAAATACTGCACTTTTCCCTCTGGTGTCACCCTCCGTGCCAGCACCTGGTACTTCTCCCCGCAGACCAGCCTGCCCGCCGCCCCGAAATAGCTGCTGATGGAGGACTTGAGGTGGGAGAGCGAGGAGTCGTCCTCGCTGATGCTCTCAAAGGTGTGGCTGTCGATACCCTCATCCGGGCGGTGGTCGTCGAGGGTGCCCCCGGCCGGGTGCCCTCCCCCGTCCCCTCCTCTCCTCTTCGCTCCCGCTGAGGCATAGGCCGGCACTGCCAGCTTGCGCTTGCGGCTGCCCACGGTCCTCTGGCTGCGAGGAAGGGGACAGAGGAGGGGTGAGGGCAGCACCCAAAAGGTGCCCCCCATCATGATGCCCTGTCAGCCTGCAGGGAGCACACTGGGAATTTGGGGGAGCCCAGCAAGGGCTGATGGCTCTGACCCTGAATGTCCAGCCAGGAAGCAACACTTCAGGACAGACCGCCCATTTTGGGACCACCAGCCTGTTCTGGGACCACCAGCCGGCTTTGGGAGGCAGGGAGGAAGGGTTTCCCAATGCAGGACATCCCTGTACCAGGACACGAGGTGATACAGGGGTAGCTCCTTGCCTTCCATGGCTGCGCCACCAGGACCCCTTTGGATGGGGGTGGGGAGGCACAGCCCTCACCTGGACTCGTAGGAGAGGCTTGTGATGGCTGAGCCCGAGGTGCTGGTGGTATCTGCAGAGTCCATGTTCGAGAGGAAAGTCTGTCCCGAGCTGGCACTGGGGTTGGGAGGCAGCGTCAGCTCCAGGGGCACTGTGGTCCCCCACCACCACCCTGTGCCACACAGACCCCCAGGCCCGGCCACACAGACCTTTTCAGGCTCTGGATCTCATCCAGCGTGAAGTCAAAGATGCTGGCCAAGTGGTGGTTGGTGCTCCAGGCAGAGGTGAAGTCACTCTGTACCACAAAAATAACCACACTTGTCACTTCCCATGGCCTTGGCATCAGCACCCTCTGCCCCTGCACCCCTGAACTCCCCCCGGGAAGCAGGATGGTCACAGGAGATTTGGAAACCTCAGGGTGAGGGATGCTTGGAGGAGCAGGGAAGCTTGTAGGGAGCCCCAGGGATGGGAGCGGGGTCCCACCCGGCTGCCAAAGTCTAGGGGTGGTCATGCAGAGGAGGGGGCGAAGGCGAAGGACTCACGCTGGGAATGGCGTCCTCCAGCAGGAACTTGGCCCTCCTGCGCCGCGCCGCTCGCTGCTTTTTGCGGCCGCGGCAGCAGACTGCAAAACAAGGTGGGGACAGGCTGCCAGGGCACCCTAGTGGAGTGTGGCAGCAGAGGGGTGCCTGGGTGAATTTCCCCACTCACCTGTCTTTGTGGCCATATTTACTTTTTCCCCTCTTCTTCAGCTCGCAGGAGCCGCTCTCGCCCGCGCTGGGGGCTTTCTCTGGCAGCACCTTGCTGGGGGGGTTTGGAGGGACACGAATCCGCAGGCGAAAGATGCATTTCTTCTTCTTGATCTCCTTGCCACACAGAAACCTGGGTGGCAGTGGGGAGGAAACAGCCCTCAGCAGGGGGGACTGCAGGAGCATCGAGCATCCTGCATCCCGGCCTCCGCCCCGGGGCTCACCTGCTTTTATAGCTGTTGAGAGCATTGAGGAGGTGGGGGCCCCGCTCCGATACAGGGGTGCCCGTCAGCTGTGGAGAGATGGCAGGGATGAGGCAGGGAGCAGGCAGGGAGCAGGCAGGGAGCGGTGCTCACAGCAGTTATACAAAAACCAAACAGACGGGGGAACCCGCACTCCAGGTTTCAGCTCCCGCCCAAGGTCAGGGTGTGAGGGGATGCCAAAGCCCAGGGCCACCAAACACCCCCGGCTGGGTGCCCTTTCCCATCCAGAGGGACTGGGCCGGGTTTTAAAGCTTCTTCCCTTCAGGGGACCGGATGAGGG